TTATTCTAAATATGAACAATTCCCCTTCAACTGCACCATGTCAGTCACAAATAAATGTTATTGGAACTTAGCATAACATATTAATCAAAATACCAAGTTACCAACCATGCGTTATGTGAGGATGTAAAAGTCCAGTCAAAAGAATATTTAGAAAATCAAGGCATTTGTATCATCTGTTAAATATAGATATCCTAAATTCACCTGTTAAAGCCAACATAAACATGCCCAAATGTACCCTGACCAATTAGCTTCCCTTTCTTCCATCGGGACCCAGGACTTATGGGGTTGTCTATCCTTCCAGGGCTACGAGGAACTGAGCGAGGAGAGTTTGATGTAGAACTTGGTAATGGGAATGGCGAGCAGTGAGATACTTTGATTGGTGGTAGTGGTAAACGATGACTTTGTTTTCTTCCCTCATCAACCAGTGATGTAGGCGACTCAAGTGCTCCTCCTGCTCGTGGATGTAATGGAGAGACAGATCCACTGTGTATCCTAGAGTTAGGACCAGGACTTGTCATTCTCGGGCTAAGAACTGGAGAACACTCTGTACTACCCCTACTATGTAGACAAAATAGATGTCCTGATATATCTCCGCCCATCGAATTATGCCCTGAGGTCTGACCAGAACCAGGACTGGAGCACTGTGCAGATCCAAGGAAGTTGCCATCTGGGTTAGGCTTGGTTGCCCAAAATGCAGATGTGGGAATTTGCTCAGGGTGAACCACTCTCATGGGGCTTCTAGAAGGACTCGACATCAAACTGTCGGGAGCACTTCCCAAAGGTCCATACTGGGGAATCTCTTTGGTGGGTGGTCCTTGCTTAGGTGATGTAGAAATAATTTGGTTATTGACCAATGAATTAGCAGACTTGACCATCACTCTTGAACTCTTCTGAATATCAATGGGAGGCAGATTTTTTTGTGCCAAGCTTCAATGATATGAACAGCATCGGAACACATCAGACAATTATATGCAGAGTAGACGCAAAACAGCACTTATAGATAATTTTAACAAAATACAAAGAAATACCTGAAAGGTCGATGTGCTATATCTTTGTTAACAGTTGCAGCATCAATACCTACCGGGCTTTGAAGTTGAGAGTCTGCTTGATCATCATTATCATTAGAGCAATTTCTGTAAAATAAGGCAGTACCTAAATCTACATCAATCTCCATGGCATGTGGTCCCCTCGAATCACAATCTGATGCTGGAAGCGGAAGAAACAACTGTGGTCTGCCGCGCTTTTCCAGTATAGGTTTCACAACAACAGCTCGAGATTGTATGCGTGGTATATCTGAGTGAACCCTAGGAAGTGGAAGTGGCTGTGGATCAGGTGGCCTATCCGCAAAGCTTTGGCAGCGTGAAACTTGAGCAGATGTAGACCGTGATTCTGCTCGTGATTCCACTCTTGACTGAGGTTCCCTGCCTAAAGATATATTACATTTTTGGGACCTCTCAGATCGAGCATCATCCTTTTGGTCAGTTAGGCTCATGAACCGATGCAACGTATTAACAAAATTTTCCTTTCTTGTCTTTTTCTTTACATCTTTAGATGAAGACTTCCCCCACCACGAAGGCATTTTTGTGCATATAAGAAGAGATGGGCTCTCTATATATGACCTTAAAAAGTTTGCGAAAATGAAACTTATATGAAGTCAGAGGTCAGCAAAGTTTCTGCCCATAAGGAGCCGTCAAGAAACCAAGCTGACCGAATTAGAAAGCCTCCTGCAGCTGGTATTGAGCTGAAACAGCCTCCTCTGATAACCTATATAGAAGAGAGATAATTTTTCCATTAAAACTTGTGTGTCTAGGTTTAATTACTTTCAATATTTACTTTTTCCCACATATATCAATTAAGACCGAAGAACATCACAATGAAACATTTGCATTTTCATAGTTTTAAGCAGAAAATGGAACAGTTTTTTCTTCTGGTCACCTTATCTTTTGCGGATGCTTTTCTTGCAAAACTAATTGCAAGAAACTAAGAGGCATGCAACTATTCAACACTCATAAAAGATCAAAGAGCATCATGAGTAAACATTCGCTCTTTTCTGGCCATTTCAAATTAGGATCGAAGAAGAGCATGAGTAAACATTTGCAAATCCATTGCTTTTCCCAGAAATGAACAAAATCTAGCCTTTTTCCTTCCTCTCATTGTCCAGCCCTTTACCGATTCATTTCCCGTAAAATTAGTTGCAATGGAGATGATAGTATCCAAAACCTAGTTCAACCCATCCTTCAACAGTATACAGATCCAACGCAAACACTAAAAACAAGCTAATTAGAAGATAATCACAATGCTCACATACCAGAAGAATCGAATCTGCACCAAATTAGAGATCGACAACCGCTGATCTCAGAAGAGGGTAATGGCGATCAGTCAGTGCCCAATTTGCCCTAGATTGGGGCATTGACTGGGCTTAGATCTTGCAGCTGAGGCCAAATTTGGGGGAAATGAGAGAGAAACCCTAGAATTGGAGAGCGAGGAGACGTTGGAGAGAGAGAGAGAGAGAGAGTTGACGGGATCGGAGAATTTTGGGAGTTTTTGAGGAAATGGAATGGAAAGAGGAGTAAAAAAGGAATCGTTTTTGTGTTGCGTGAGTTTTGTAAGCGGTTTTATTCGTAATTAAAATTCCGGATTGATTTGGGATTAGCTGTTACTAATGTCGGAAACAAACGTAAGTAAGTGTTCTCTTTTAAATCTTTTTTATTATTGTTTGATTTGATATCAACCCATTACGGTTTGGATTTTTAATATTATTCCTTATTGATGACGTGGGCTCCAGCACATTACACAGTGAGACTTTTCAAGACCACATAAACAATATGCAGGAGGACAGTTTCGATTTTTCGTTGTCCCTGTACGATTTGGATCACAATGTGTGTTCCGATAGGAAATGCAATCATTTCACTTGCTAATGATCATTTTGGAAAAGATGATATTAACAAAGTTCTTCATCAGAGAAATATATAAGAAAAGATGCGTTTCATTAATACTTTTTTAAAGGCTAAAATATCAAATTGGTACATAAATGGATATCACTTTAGGGCCTGTTCGTTTGCCTAAAAAAAAGAGGGAAATCAAAGAAATGGAAAACTATTAAAATGAAGAATTGTTTTTGGAGTGTTTGGTTGGCTAAAAAAGAAGGAAATCAAAGAAATAAAATTGAAATGATGTTAGTTGTCACCTTATTATTGGATGATGTTTGTGATTTTTTAAGAAAACTAGTTTTGGAGTGTTCGGTTGGCGAAAAAAAAAAGGAAATGAATTATAAGAAACCTATTTCATGTAGTTTCTTGTTTTCTTTTGTTCGGTTCATTCTTAAAAATAAGAAATGAAATGAGATGAGATGAGTTGTCATTGTATTATTGGGTGATGTGAAGAAAGATTAAGAAAAGTGTTTTCATAACTTTTTGGGATGAAAATGAAGAAATGAAATGTTAATGAGATGAGGTGAATTGTTATAATATTTTATTGGATGATGTGAGTGATTTAAAATGATGAGAAGAGATGAGTTGAGTGATGTTTGGATGAAAATAATATTTTATTAGATGTGATGGATGAGTTGTTAGATGAAAATAATATTTTATTAGATGTGATGGATGAGTGGTTAGATAAAAATCATATTTTATTAGATGATGTTGATGAGTTGTTGGATGGAAATAATATTTTATTGGATGTTGTGGGTGAGTTTTAGGGATGGAAATGGAGGAAATGGTGAGTTTTGAGATTTTCACCATTTCCATTTCCATTTCTTGCTTTTTAGAAAACAAACGAACAGGCCCTTAACGGATGCTGACGAAGAAATTGACATGTACACCGCAAGTTGTGATAATAGGCACTTCGATGGCCAGTGGTAAATTTTGAGAGTGAAAATTAAGGGGGGGTTTTTTTTTTTTGCATGTGCACCGCTCAAAAATCTCTTGTATTTTCAGATCTATCCCCATGTTTTGAAATTTGCAAAAAAAAAAATATTCTTCTCTCTCTCTCATCCTTGTTACGGTCCATTTAGTCTCATATCGATTATATGGATAACTTGATATGGGTGCATAAGGGATTTGAATTCTCTTCCTCTACGAACGGTCTTTTAGAGGTTAGTTCTTATTGGTTCATTACAAGTGGTTTTCAAAAGCTGACCCTACCTCCCGATTGCAATCGAGCAGCTCGGGGCAATGACGCTGGTATTGTAGTTATCCTAGGACTAGTTTAGTGCAAAGCCAAAGGGGACGGCACAGTGAATGCAATATTCAACTGGGACTAAGTTAGTGAAGACTCAGCCTGTGTGGGCTCCAATATCATAAGTATGGTGGCATGTTAAGGTCCATGTAATCCTGCATCAGTTATATGATTAACTTGATGTTGGTTCATAAGAGATTTATGCCTTTTCTCTTTACAGACTAGCTTTTAGAGATAAATTCTCCTAGATACTTTACAACCATCTTCTCCATCCTAATGTCCTTCCGATCTCCAACCTCCTTCTTTCTTTGAAGGGTGAAGAGGAAGTGGATGAGGGAAGGAGGGAGGAAGTGGGAGAGCCCCCCTCCCCCACCCCCAATTACAAGTATCAGAATTTGAAGGAGGATTTGAAAACATGGAGATTTGAGGAGTATATATGAAAAAAAAATTCTTAAATTTTCCATTCAAAAGTTATCGCCTTGTGACTAGAATAGCCTATTTGTCACAACTTGCTAACTTTTTTGTCAATTCATTGCCAGCGTAATTTGTATGCTAAACCGGTAAAGTGATGCCACTTTATATGCTAATTTGATATTTTAGCCCTTTTTACAATCAATACCAAATATTACATGTTGGATTTAATCTAATAAATCTATTTGTGGGCACATATGATTAATCAATGTGTATTGCTATCCTTCAGGATAAGCCACTAAAGTGATCAATTAATTTGGGTTAATGGGTATTTAAATAAGTCATGGGGTTATATGTGCAGATACCAGGTTGTAATTGTGATTTGATGAGGGGCCAAATTGCAAATATACAACATCTATAAATGAGGGGTTATGGTCCCTAATCTAGGGTTACATTCTCTAATTCTCTTCACCCCCATCTAGAGAGAAATTTGTCTAGAGAAACCCTAAGGTTAGAAGATCCAAAACTCATCTCAAGTTTAATCTATGGATTCAGGTATAAGCTTCCGCTCTTTTTGATTCTTGTTAATCTCTTGAATTAATCATGGCTTTATGGTTTAGATCTCAAGTTTTTATTAAGATCTAACAAGTGGTATCAGAGCCACCTTTGATTAATTCTTAGGGATTTAAGTTTTAAAATTGGGTTTTTGATCTTAAATCTCTGGTTTTTTTGGATTAAGATCTGTTCTCGGATGAACAGTAACGTTCGGATGAACAGTTGCGATTTTATTTTTCGAATGAACATTTTGGAATTTTTTTGGATTTTTCTTCGATTTTTTCTTGGATCTGGATCACGAAAATTTTTCCGATTATGGATCTGGTTTTTGAAAATAAAAATCGAGAAATTTTTTGGGTTTGGTCTTCCGTCCCGTGCTCCTCGCCGACGAACTTTCGCTGGCGGCCTCGCTCTCGACTCCAACGGTGACGGCGGCATCAGGAAACCCTAGGGTTTCGACCTCTTGGGTGCCGGAGCAATGGCGGCGGCGGTTTTAGTTTGAAACCCTAAGGGTTCGTGCGTGAAAACGTGGCGAAAATTAAGGAGGTGGTTACCTATTTTGGTGAGGCTTGAAAGCTTCAAACGAACTTCGCGTTCGTTCTCAGGTGAGCCACGCGCTCAATTTAAACGAACTTCACGTTCGTTCTCAGGTTGAGCCTCGCGCTCAATTTCAAACGAACTTCGCGTTCGTTCTCAGGTGAGCTTCGCGCTCAATTCAGACAAACTTCGCGTTCGTTCTCAGGTTGAGCCTCACGCTCAATTTCAAACGAACTTCGCGTTCGTTCTCAGGTGAGCTTCGCGCTCAATTCAGACGAACTTCGCGTTCATTCTCAGGTTGAGCCTCGCGCTCAATTTCAAATGAACTTCGCGTTCGTTCTCAAGTGAGCTTCGCGCTCAATTCAGACGAACTTAGCATTCGTTCTCAGGTGAGCCTCGCGCTCAATTCAAGTTGAGCCTCACGCTCAGTTCTTAAGTGAGCCTCACGCTCAATTCAAGTCGAACCTCGCGTTTATTTTTCAAACGAATCTCGCGTTCGTTCTCAAGTTGAACCATGTGTTCATTTTCAGTCGAACCTCGCGTTCAATTTTCAAACGAACCTCGCATTCGTTCTCAAGTTGAACATCACGTTCATTTTCAGACGAACCTCGCGTTCGTGCTTAAGTGAGTCTTGTACTCAATACAGTCGAACCTCGCGTTCGAAGTCAAGCGAACTTCATATTCATTATGGTTAAACCTCGGCTTTTCATGGGTCCACTTTGGTATACTTAATTTATTCAATTAAGTTGTGGGCCCTACTTAAGCTATGGAATTTAATTTAATTTAAATTTAATTTGGCAGTTAATCAATTATTTAATTTAAATATTATGATACTAAGGTATTAAGGTTGTCTCTCACTCCAATTGTTTAATTGAAACAAGAAGTTGCCAAAGTAACCTCTATTGTGTAGATTGTTCATGAGGAATGTGAGATGTTTGTGTGTATGCTTTCGTGTAAATATTTAATCGGCCCAAAGAAAGGTTAATATTTATTTAGACTATATACACATCTACGATGATAAGTGTGTGATAATTATAAGGTTTACATGTGAATAATGAATCGATCCAAAGATAGTTTCATTATTTGACATGAGTTATTGTCAATGTTTGATCATTGCAACAAGGTATCACTTATAAGTTAATATTACTGTCCAAAGACTTGATATTAATGTTGTGCTAGATATCTTGGATGGGATTCGTCATTATTTGAATTTTATAGATTACTAATTATGGTTATTGATGTGAGCATTTTTATTTTATTTCAGCTAATGTATCTGCTGTAATAATTTCTGCTAACATCAACTCAATTCCCATGCTAAATGGAACAAACTTCAAGGTTTGGAAAGAGAACATATTAATTATTCTTGGCTGCATGGATCTAGACCTTGCATTAAGAATTAAACAACCCCAACCTCTCAATGCGGATAGCACTCCTGATGCAAAGAAGGAGTATGAGAAGTGGGAGCGTTCAAATCGCATGAGTCTTATGATCATTAAGCGCGGCGTTCTTGAAGACTTCAGTGGTATAAAATCCGAAGGGATTACTAAGGCTAAAGATTTCCTTACCGAAATTGAGAAACGTTTTGCGAAAAACGATAAGGTAGAAACAAGCACGCTCTTAGCTCGCTTGATTTTAATGAAGTATAAGGGCAAAGGAAATATCAGGGAGTACATTATGGAAATGTCTCATATTGCTTCAAAGCTTAAGGCACTTAAACTCGATCTTTGTGACGAGTTATTAGTGCATCTGGTTTTGTTGTCTCTTCCTGCACAGTTTAACCAATTTAAGGTCAGTTATAACTGTCAAAAGGAGAAATGGACTCTAAATGAGCTCATTTCATACTGTGTGCAAGAAGAAGACAGGTTGAAGCAAGATAAGACAGAAAGTGCTCATTTGGCCTATGCCTCTAAGGATAAGGGCAAGAAAAGGAAGAATGATAAGG